GTTGCATAAAATTAAAAATGGAAGTTCATTCAAGAAACCACTATATCTTAACGATCTATTTGAAAATTAAAAAAAAAAAGGAAATTGAATAGAAAAAGAAATTGAAGAAAAATAAATATGGAAGTTCATTCAAGAAACCACTACAACTTAACCATCTATTTGGAAATTAAATAAAAAAGGAAGTTCAATAAAACTGAAATTGAATAAAAAAGGAAGTTGAATAAAATTAAAAATGGAAATTGTATAAAATTAACAATGGAAGTTCATTAGAGAAACTACTATACCTTAACGATGTATTTGGAAATTAAATAAAAAAGGAAATTGAATTAAAAAGGAAATTGAATAAAAATAGAAGTTGAATAAAAATAGAAATGGAAACTGCACAAAATAAAAAATGGAAGTTCATTCAAGAAACCACTATATCTTAACGATCTATTTGGAAATTACATAAAAAAAAAAGAAGTTGAATAGAAAAGGAAATTGAATAAAATAGAAGTTGAATAAAAATAAAAATGGAAGTTGCATAAAATTACAAATGGAAGTTCATTCAAGAAACCACTATGCCTTAACGATATATTTGGAAATTAAATAAAAAAGGAAGTTAAATAGAAAAGGAAATTGAATAAAAATAAAAGTTGAATAAAAATAACAATGGAAGTTGCATGAAATTAAAAATGGAAGTTCATTCATGAAACCACTATACCTTAACGATCTATTTGGAAATTAAATAAAAAAGGAAGTTTAATAGAAAAGTAAATTCAATAACAATGGAAGTTGAATAAAAATAAAAATGGAAGTTCCATAAAATTAACGATGGAAGTTCATTGAAGAAAGCACTATACCTTAACGATCGATTTGGAAATTAAATAAAAAAGGAAGTTGATTAGAAAAGGAAATTGAACAAAAATGGAAGTTGCATAACAATAAAAATGGACGTTGCATAAAATTAAAAATGGAAGTTCATTCATGAAACCACTATACCTTAACGATCTATTTGGAAATTAAATAAAAAAGGAAGTTTAATAGAAAAGTAAATTCAATAAAAATGGAAGTTGAATAAAAATAAATATGGAAGTTCCATAAAATTAACGATGGAAGTTCATTGAAGAAACCACTATACCTTAACGATCGATTTGGAAATTAAATAAAAAAGGAAGTTGATTAGAAAAGGAAATTGAACAAAAATGGAAGTTGAATAACAATAAAAATGGACGTTGCATAAAATTAAAAATGGAAGTTCATTTAAGAAACCACAATACATTAACGATCTATTTGGAAATTAAATAAAAAAGGAAGTTGAATAGAAAAAGAAATTGAATAAAAATGGAAGTTGAATAAAAATAAAAAAAGAAGTTCATTCAAGAAACCACTATACCTTAACAATTTATTTGGAAATTAAACAAAAAAGGAAATTGAATAGAAAAGGTAATTGAATAACAATGGAAGTTGAATAAAAGTAAAAATGGAAGTTCCATAAAATTAAAAATCGAAGTTCATTGAAGAAACCAATATACCTTAACGATATCTTTGGAAATTAAATAAAAAAAAAAAGTTGAATAGAAAAGAAAATTGAATAAAAACGGAAGTTGAATGAAAATAAAAATGGGAGTTGCATAAAATTAACAATAGAAGTTGATTGAAGAAACCACTATACCATAA